TATTGATTCGTCTTAACAAGTACCTTATTAAAATGGAAAAATTGTCCAAAATAATCCGAACTTTGCCTCATTTGCTCAAAATAATCCCAACTTTCGATTATTTTTTAACAATCCGAACTTTAATGTAAATCTGCTTTCAATGGTCCCAAGTGACCGACAACTTGTTGAGTAGGTAATTTTTTTTTTAAAATTTAATTTACACGTGTCATCACATTATTGGTCAACAATCAGTTTTAGTTTTAATTTTCTTAGAAATATTTATTAGTTACTAATTAACTAATAATTTAAAACTAACTATTTTCAAATTAAAAAAAAAAAAAAAAAAAAAAACCAAATCAACCCCAGCCACCAACACCAACCCAGCCACCAAAACCAACACCAACCCAGCCACCTCCACCACCTTACCTCCCCTACCACAACCACCCGAAACACCAACCTCACCACAACCACCTGAACCGAAACATTATCCCCATTCCCACCCCCTCAACCACCAAACTCAAAACTTCACTACAATCACCAACCTGAATCGCAACCCCACCATAACCACTAGAGAACGGCAGAACTTCATCCTTCTCTCTCCTCTCTCGCCCACCACAAGCCCACAACATGAACCGAAACCTCCCTCACTTGCCACCAGCTGAACCGAATCCACCCTCACCCGAAGCCCTAACCCCCACCTGAACCGAAACCACCTTTATTCAAATCTGGGTAGGTGGGGTGGTTTCGGGTTTGATTGGGTGGGATCGAGACGAGGAAGAGGGTTTGTGTTTCGGGTGAGGGAGGTCGGCACGGCTCCGGTGCCGGCACGGGTGAGTCTGGGCACGGCCCAAGGTGGGAGTCGGGCTGGCGGAGTAGGCGGCGGGAGGGTGGTTGGGATGGAGGGGTGGTTTTTCTATTAATTAATTAATAGTTTTGTTTTATTTTTTTGGTAAATAAATTAAACATTTTTATAAATTTTTTAATTTTATTTTTAGTTTTTTGTCCAATCATATGCCAACACGAAAACACGTGTCAGGTAACTTGTTATAACAACCATTTGAAGCGGATACATATCAAAGTTCGGATTAATAAAAAATAATCAAAAGTTGGGATTATTTTGAGTCAATGATGCAAAATTCGGATTATTTAAGGCAATTTTTCCTATTAAAAATTCAATCGTTATAATTTTGACAAGTATGTAATGAAAGATATTAATGGTCAAACAAGTGTAATGGCAAACGTGCAAAGTCAAAGCATAAACAATAAAAAAGAACAAAGGGAGTACTTTCTCCGTTAAATATTAGTTGCAACTTTGGAATTTTTTATGTCTTACAAATAATATCCTTAATTTGCAACTAATATGTAAAGGAGGAAGTATTATTTATTAACCAATTAACCCATATATATATATATATATATATATATATATATATATATATATATATATATATATATATATATATATATATATATATATATATATATATATATATATATATATATATATCAAGGTGCTAGGTGCACCCCAAGGGTATAATCTGCTCATTAATAATTTTTACTCATCTAAAATCTTAAAATAACTTTAAAAAAAAAAAAAAAAAAAGAAAAAGAAAAAAAAAACCTACCCTTGAATTTATGTACATCGAATGTATAAAAAAAATGTTGATTAATCCAAACCTTTCTTCCCCTAGAACAACCTAGATCTCTTGACCAAACAACGCTTAAATAACGCATATTCTTGGTTGCATGCTTGTAATAGCTGCAATAGCCTTAAACGCAGCTATTTTAGCATGAAACGCATCCCAACTTGTTCTTCTTCATATTTTAGCTAACGTTCTTCCCGCGTACATCTTTCCTTTTTTTAATTTTTTTGTTTCTTTTTTTCAAATAATCTCTCGTCACTTTTCTTTCCTATAATAATTTTGATCGAAATTTTGATCAAAATTTTCTTCTCCTCTGTTTTTCCTCTTTCATTCTTCATTTTCTCTCTCCTCTGTTTTCTTTATTTTTCTCTTTTGTTTCACTTTTTCGATTGACTTTGTTGCTTACTATGGAATTAGTTGTTATTCCTGAAGAGATCGTTAATGCAGGTTAGTGTTTTGTTTTGTTGATTTGTAATTACTAATTAGGTTTTTTTTAGATTATCTTCAATTGTAATTGTATTTTGTTTAATTTCTATCAATTTGATCTATGTATGAATTTTGATTTCTTATTTGGTGATTCTGTAATGAATTTTGATCAATTTGATTAGGTTTGTGAACATGTAATTCATATGAATTGAATTTACGGCCTTTAATTATGAACATAAGAAAATGAAGAAATAAAAAATAAAATGATTATAAAACTTACGCATTATAAGTATAAAAATATGAACATATGCATTAAAAATATGAATATATGCAATTTCGAAAATGAACATACGCATTTAAAATATGAACATATACATTGGTTCATTTTTTGAATGCATATGAACATAACCATTTCATAAGGTGAACATATACATAAAAAATATGAACATATGGATTTTAGAGAGTGAACATTTGCATTTTAGAAAGTTTACATAAGCATTTCAGAAAGTTTACATAAGCATTCAAAATATGAACATAAGCATTTAAGAAAGTGAACATATGCATAAAAGAATATGAACATATGCATTTCAGAAAGTGAACATAAGCATTCAAAATATGAACATAAGCATAAACATACAAAATATACAAAATGAGAACATTTTATGATCATTAAGAATATTTTTCATATGAACAACAAATATTAATATTATGAACATTTCAAAATATTTTATGAACATAAGGTATCCGTTTGATTTCACTAAATTTTCGAACAATTCCAATAAAAATTTCAAACAATAGAATATCGAACAATATTCAAACAAAATTAAGTGATATTCATATAAATTGAAATAAATTTAAGTGATATTTACATAAAATTACCTTTTTTGGGGAAAATCCGTTTGATTTTTCATTTCGTCTCGAATGTCCATGGCTGGTTTTGAGGAGAGAGTGAATTGTGTTTTATTGTTAGAGAGAGAAAATCAAAGAGAGGAGTAATAAATTTTAGAAATTTAAGTTTGGAAGTGACGGTTTTTTAAAAAAAAAAATTATATTTTTTATTTTGAAAAAAAAATAGCTGTTGGAAGTGACGGTTTTGTATAAATGAGTAAAATGACGGTTGAGTGGGATGCGTTTTAAAGATATGTTCAATTTTTTGGGTGGGCTCATTTTGATTTAAGGCTTTTTTTAATGGGGTGCGTATGAAATTGGGTTTGTAGGCCGGTGTTGCAGCTAGAATAGCTGCACAAGGGTGCAGCTTAGACCAATTGCTTACATAAACTGGTTGGCCTAAACGCAAACCCTGTTGGACATTATCCACTATGTAGGCCTGCTTTAGAAACAAAAGCCCATACTTGAAATTGTCAGTCAGAAATTTTATGGACTTTATAAAAATATATATATTTATGGACTTAATAGCCCAGCCCAAATCATTTAGCCCAAATGATAGGCAACTTAGAGCTACAATTCCGGGTCGGGGCTTTCGGTGGTGGTCTATGACTAAAATTAGGGTATTTAGTATTTCGAGTAAAACACATAAAAAGTGAATTATTTAAACATTAAACATTTATTCAAATTATGATTGCAGATTTGCAGTAATACAAAATGGGTCCAATAGATGAGATCGTTAAACCCGGTTCGTAACGGTCAAAATTACTTCCAAAGTTCCAAACCCACATGTACAAATGTAAATACGAATATTCAATTATATAAGGTGTGTGTCAAACCCCTAGTGTGCGTGTAAAGGAGGATAACCGCTTAACGATTCGTCATTTGAATTTCCATGACTCCTTAAAAGGTACTCAGTACTACCATGTTTCTATCAATGCCTTTGCTTATGCTACCCTCTAAGGACTCTCCCGCCATCACTGTTCACGCGCGAGTACGAGAAACTCGAATATGTACGAAGTCATTGTTCAACCTTTAATGGCTCAAATCGCTCAATGGATGTCATTGTGCTCATCAGCCAGAAGGTGCTTAACACTTCGGCATTTCATAACATATCTAATGCTCTACAAGATTTAAAAAAATTCAAATGGAGGCTAAGTTTTGCAAAAGAGTTGTACATAATACTATAAGTGAGGAACAACGAATCAGTCAGACATACAGATACTACCAGGACAGGATACGTTTGATATGAAATCAGCATTCGCATATGAAATCAGCATTCGCTCTCAAAGAATCAACTAGAAAGAGGCTAAAGGCTTCCGATGAATGGACTACAGAGGTCCATCACCAGTAATAAGACTAATAGCTCTGCACATAAGCAATCAACGAGCAGCAAAAGGCAGGGTATTCGCTCAGGAGATATGGTCAGTTGTAAAATCCATTTACTGTAATAATTTCTTGCATCAAATTTTCATGACAAGCAACATAGCGCATTTTATATAGTTACATGCACAACAGCACAACAGGATCAGCTATTGGCATTGTGCAAATCAGCCCTTGCACACCATATTTTCTATATGCAATATTGCATTTCATCAAATAGCATAAGATCAGGCATCGACCAACACCAATAACGTTCCCAAAAACCAAAAATGAATTGGATGCAATACAAAATTGTGTAAAGAGGATCCAAACTAAATCAATTGTTTAGTGGAATAGATGACAAGAATGCCTCGTTTTCACGCTTTCACGAAACTTAAAGAAACAACAATAACAAGCTACCAAGTTTCAGGAGAATATTATCAACAACATATATGATATAACAATACAAAAACCTATATTTAGGCGGAACACCCAAGAATAAAAAGAAAGGGCGGCAAGTAAGCAAAGTTTTCCACCATTAATTTCCACACTAAAAATTACTTGCCTTCATCAGAAATGCTACTTCCCACATATAATTTCCATTGACACACAAATAAATTCAATCCAAATGCATAACCAAGCGTCCAAGCACATTACCAAAAATCCGATCGATTCTCATCTAAATCGAAAACAAACAAACGCACAAATCATAAACCAAATTTCGATTTCTTCATTATTGAATAAACCGCTCTTATTCCAAAACAAAAAACATAAGAATCTCTATATAGTAGTAACCCAAGATTAGCATCTCTATTCATATAAACTGTACTTACATCAACAACAACAACAAAAAACCCGAAAATTTAAAACTTGCGTTGAATTCCCGGCCAGTAGAGCACATAGATGATGATGATGAACACCTCTGATTAATCTTGTAAAGTTTACCATTTTCTGTCAGCAGGAATAAAAATTCTTCCCTCCATATATCTACACTGGACTAGCAACCAATTCTCCCCACATTACTTATTCTGCAATACAAATTTACAAACAAAATCAATATTCATTCTAAAAAACCCAAATCAAAAATTCAAAAATTGAAATGACAAATAAATTTGAAAGACTGAAAATTTACCAAAATTATCCAGTTTGAGGCTGTTCGTTTACTTTGTACATATCAGCTGATATCTCCGATAACCAATACCCGGGAAAAACTGCCTGAAAATTTCCCAAAAAAATAAAATAAAAAAATCAATCAATGCAACAGCAAAAAAACACTATTAAATATAAATATCCGAAAATTTTCAAGAGAATATTGAAAAAACATAAACTTACATCGATTTGCCTTTGAACAAATTTGGGCCGTTTCTTGGGCCTACGAGCGGGCCGAGTACCCAACATCGCTAGAAAATCTTCCTCAATTTCTTGCTTAGAGAGAGTCCCGGAAAAATTAGCTCTCGGTCGCTCACCGCCATGTTCACCGCCGCTAACTTCACCGGCGTTTCTCCTCGCCGGAGATTTAACCACCGGAGAAGAAATATGTTTCCGATCAGAAGAAGCGGGAAAATTGTTAGGCTCCTTACAAACAGCCCTCCTCGTTCTCAAATTCCAAGGTCTGGTCTCAACCGCCGTCGTCGGTGGAACAACGACGTCGGATTTTTGAAGAAAAGCGGCTTGCATCTGATGAACTTCGGCCCGAAAATCAAGTATGAGTTTCTCACCTAATCCTTCGATCCCAATCTTAGCATTGTCGTCACTGGATCTCCGCTTCCGATGGTGGTTGAACTCGGAGCGAGTCAAGGGTAAGTCGTCGGCGCCGCCTTCAACGGCGTCGTTATGATGATCGACGGCGTTATCTTCCTTGACGCAGCGGAGCTGTACACGGCGACCCCAGGTGACGTTGAAGCAGGGGAGAGAGGAGAAATTGGGGAGAGTTAGAGTTCCTTTGGATCGTTCTGGAACCATCATCGCCGCCATTAGATTGTGTTTTTGTTGTTGTTGTTCTTCCGGTGACGGCGTTGTTTGTGGTCTGCGGTGTCGGTCGCCGTAGTCCGCCGTGCCGGCGGTAATGACCATTAGAGAGGGGAGTAAAGATGGTGGGGGAATGAGAGGGAATTGAAGAGGTGTTTGGTTTGGTTTGGTTGGGTTGGGTTGAGGAAGAGAGAATTGGAGAGGAGAGAGAAAATTGTTGTGATGGGTTGTGTTGAGAATGTGACAAATCGCCGGGAATTACAAAATATATATGAGGGGTGAAGGTGAGGGTGAGAGCAAGGGTAAGCGAAGGAGGGAGTAGCGAACGAGCGAGCGGTTTTGACGTTCGTATTACTTTTGGGACTTTTTTTTTTTTTTTTTTTTTGATAGAAGAAAATATATACAAGAATAAAATAAAATTGTCTTTATGGTCATTTTATAATTTTACGGACTTGGTAGTTGGTATTATTAATTTTTAGGGTAAAAAAGGTGAAAATGAGAAAACCTACTTGAGCTATAATTTCTTCAATTTGAATTTGTTTGATATTAATTTTTAGGGTAAAATAAATGAATATGAGAGAAACTAATTGAGTTATAGTTTCTTCAATTTGAATTTGTTTGATTTAAATGAAAAGGCATAATTTGTACTAAAATAGGTTAAATTGAGTCATATATACAGAGTAAAGAGGGAGCCCATGTTTATAACCAAATGGCAATTCCGTAAATATTTTGCCTTGAATATTGTGCTACAGATTATAAAACAATATATTTTTCTTTGGCCAACTGTCATTAAAGTCTTAAAGTTAACGTCCGTTAAACTCCTTTCTAACTTCTTCCTCCAAATAGAAGAGAGAGAAAGAGAAGACCCACCTTCACGTTTTAACAATGGAGGAACCAAGCTCAACTCCGCTTATCTATATACTATCCTCCATTGGAGTTGCTTGTAACTCAACCACCATTTCCACCACCACATATCTGGCGGCTTTGCCACCAATTAAACGAAAACCCTAAGAGAAAATGGTGAAATAAATGGCTTGGTTAACCCTAAAGGATAAGGTTTATCATCGTTGTGCGGTGGGTCGTCTATTAGGAGCGATGAGGCGGTGCTTAGTGGTCGTAAGGTGGAGTCATAGAGTAGGAGCGGTGGCGGTGCTAGTGGTCGTGTGGTGGGGAGGAATTTTGGTTTGGTGGTGGGTGGTTGACTGGTTATCTATTATGGTAATGGTGGAGTTAGAGGAGAGAGAGAAAGCTGGTGGCTGTCTAAAGGAAGAAGAAGCTGGGTTTAGTTTGTAGAGGAGAGAGAAGGAGATAGTAGTACTCTTTAGTCTCTAACGGCACAAATAAACTCTATTAAAGCAAAATATGTAAAAGCCCAAATTCTCCCTAATGTTCATATATTAAAAGTCAAAAATACCCTTTGACAATAAACATGTAATGTTAATCTAGGTTATAAACTTGTATTTTCCACAGAGTAAATTAAATACTTTTTCCGTTATTTTTTAATTGCAAAATTGCAAATTTTACTCTCGTCACTAAAAATTCATTTGACCGTCTTTTGTGATTTATTTATTAGAAAAAACATATTAATGTGGAGTTTTTGGATTTTGTAAGATTTGTTTCGGTGCATACTTTTAAAATATTAATGTTTATAAATTTTACTAAACTATGATTACATATATTAATAATAGGAAATTTTGTTAATTACGACCTAAAAAACAGAGGCTTTATGAATTAATACCCCTAAAAAAAAGTTTTTAATTACTACCCCTAATTCACCTAAATAGGACCGATTACTACCCAATTGCACTTTCCGATGACTTAAATCACCTTATGACGTCAGTACTCCGATTTAACCACAGCTCACACTAACTCTAATCTAATTAACCTAACTAACCCAAAATTAACCTAACTAACCCAAATTAACACAGTAAACATTAAACAAAAAATTACCCTAACTAATTCTTCTATATAAATCAGTATCCCCAATTCAACCCCTATAACAGCTCTTTCACCATATCCAACTCAAATCCTATCATCCTATCCACTGCAAATCTCCAAATCTTCAATCTCCCTGTCATATTGCACAGTTTAGCTAGCAAGAGGAAGACATCTTAAGAGGTAATTCATTAATTTGCTTCAATGTTGGTGTAAAGTTGTCTGATTTTTAGGGTTTATTGTAAAGTTTGGATTTTTTTTTTTCAGAATTGAACAATTAAGCAAAATAAATCCTTCAATTCAAACCTAATTTAGCATTTGTTTTTAGTTGCAGATGAGTTTGCAAATTGCTCGAGCCAATAGAAGGCTTTGTAGGTGTGGATTACCTACTTCAATCATGACCTCTTGGACAAAAGAGAGTCCGGGAAGACGATTTGTTGCCTGCCCAGATTTTGTGTAGAAACAAACACAAGGGGTTGCAATCATTTTTACTGGCATGATGAAGAAATGACTTAGTGGCAAAGGGACACCATACTAAGGCTTTTGGAAGAAAGACATGAACTGAGAGCAGAGAATGAGATTATGAAGAAGCAATTGGCATCATTGAATCAGGAATCCAGGAAAATTAAGACTAAGTATGTGATGTTGAAGATGAAGCACAACTGTGGAGATGTCAAACTAAGCAACTGGGCTATGGGTCTCATTGTTGTTGTTGTAGTTGGTTTGTTTTGGTTTAGGGGGGTTTAATGCAGTGTATTAATAAGTTGGATTTTGGTAGTGAAATTGTAAGATAGTAGTATTTGGTTAATATGTGTAGAGTAACTGGGAAGTGCTTTAACTTTATCAATAAGATGGTTTGAATTTGACTTTCATATTGTTGTTTGCAAATCAAGGTAATTGAACCAAATCAATCAAGCTAAAAACAGGAGAAGCAAAGTAAATACATTCATTTTGATAAGTAAAGTCAGCATACACAATAATAAAAGCTTGACTATAATTGCCAAGACCAACATAAATAGTCAAAACAGAACATAACTTGGCAAAATAGGCATGCATGCCATAATTGTACTACAAAATAGGACTTAAACTGCCTAAATGTTGAAGTCTTACACCAAACACACTAAATAACAGTTGTACTTTGAACCTAAACAAACAACTACTCTCTCATTTCATCAGTTGGACTACTAGGCTGCTGTGATTGCCCTATTGTTGTGACAGTTGATGCTTGGGATGAGCTCTCTCCAACCTTAGCTTGTGTTGCCTGCTGGTTGTTACCCTGCACAATCCACCACCAAATTAAGGAAGAAAACTTTGTAAGGGAGGCCAAAAACCCCAAAAGAGAAATACAAGTACCTTATTTTTAGGCCTCTTTTCCTTCCCTGCAACCCTTATTGCTCTGCTATGCACCACCCATGGGTCATCAGAGAATGGTTTCCCATCCTTATTCTTGGGTTCAGATGAGGTGTCAAGGGTTGGGTTCTTGCATCTCTTGATGTTATGTCCATATTACTTGCAATTGGAACACTTGAATGGCTTCCCACCCATTCTTGCAGCCTTCTCTGCAAGGTCAGCAACCCTCTCAGCATCCTCTCCAACTTCCTTCTCCCTTTTCTTCTTTGATGGCATGCCTGACATGACCTTAAATGGGGGTGGAAGTGGCTCAGGGAAAGAGGTCTTTTCCCATTGCTTAGGCCCTGACATAGGCATCAATATAGGGAATAAGAAGCTAGGTACTTGTCCCTTGAATAAGCTACATCCACATAATCCTCTGGATCCCCTCTCATGTACAAAATACAAGCATATGCATGGTGGCATGGTATTCTTGTCAACTGCCAAGAATAGCAACTGCATTTCCATGCATTCAAATCAGCTAGATGCCTATCTCCATTGTTCTCAACCTCAAACAACTTTTCTGTACTCCTAGTCAGTATGTTGTACTTCCTAATTCTCTCAGCCCAATCAAATTGTTTCTTAACATAAGGCATGAACCTCCCTTGCATTTTTTGAACTCCCTCCCTTTTCTGACAATTTCTTCGCATAACATATCTTCTCATCCATTCCATGTGTGTTAAAATTGGTTTGTCTCTTGCTTGTTTTAACACATTGTTAAAGCTCTCACACATGTTATTCAAAAGCATTTTTGATTTAGGGGTAGAAGAAAATGCATGCCTACTCCAGCTATGGGAGGGGATAGCAGACATGTATTCATATGCTTTCTTAGACATGGTTTTCAATGTTTGCATATGCTCATTGAATTCTAAGTGCACAATCACAATAAACAAAACAACCAAAGCTAAGCTAATTACAACAACAAACACTGGCTTTAAGCATACATTTAGGAAAATGAGGTGCATACCACAGTTGTAGCCTTTGCTGCTTTCCACAACAACTCCTTGTTAGCCAAACCATTCCACTTCAGCTTGAAGTTTGACCATATGTGCCTCCAACAGAATCTGATTCCAGCCTTGGGTACAACATTTTGGAAAGCTTCTAACAGTCCCTACAAACATTTCACATAGTTAGTTATATGTCCTATTCCCAAAACTTAATCAAAATGAATCAAAGAAAAGTCACTAGAGAGAGCAAACTCACCTTTTGTCTATCTGACATGAAAGTGTATCCATGTCCATCCACTGTTCCCAATGCTGAAGCTAACAGGTCAAAGAACCATGACCAAGTGTCAATTTTTTCAATTTCAACAACACCCCAAGCTAGGGGATAAATGTTGTTATTCCCATCACTTGCCACTGCCACAAGACAGATCCTTGGATATGGTCCTGTTAGATGGCAACCATTTAACCCAATAAGAGGCCTACACCTTGCCTTGAAGCCATCCATTACTGGCTTGAGTGATATAAACATCCTCTAGAAAATGGGAGGGGGTCTCTCTACGTTCTTACACATGCAGAAAGCACTGCTACCCTCATTGTACTTCTTCACCGCATATGCATAATCCCACACTTTTTTGTATTGCTCTGACCCATCTCCATACAACATCATCTTTGCTCATGCTCTTGAAACCACAGCTTGTAATAACCACAATAAACACCTGTATCTCTCAAAACCCTTTGACCAAAACCTTTGGTCTAGTGCCAATCTGGATCAGACCTCCAATCTTCCAAGTACTTCTCTGCCAAGTACTCTGAGGTCACTTTTTTGTTCCTTTCTGCAGCCCTACATGCGTGCTTCAACTTCATTGCCCTAATGAACATTGTTTCTTCTAGCTTCAGTTTTCTTGCAATAACCTTGAACTTGCACAAAGGCTGAAGACAAGAACAATTTCTC